GCATATATAAAATGTAATTATTGTATAATATATATGCAATTTTATATATAGTATTATGTATATAGTTATATTATATATTATATACAAAGTGTTTCAGGAAGAATGATTAGCATTCTAAAGTATAGAAATATGAGATTGTATACCTTATTTTAAGCAATAAAGTTTATATAAACATGTGTTTCATTTGTGAACGTGGTTATAAAACTACAACGTGTTCAGTCTTAAGAACAAATACATTTTTTTAACTTAATAGAAGCAAATTTTATGAAACAATTACATTAAATTTTAAGCTTACAATTTTAAATAATTAATTTAAATTAATATTAATTAGTAAACAATAATTTAAATTAATTAACAATAAATTTGGCATGAGTGTAAACATAATACATTTTAATTACACCAGAAACAAAAAATTTCAAATTAACGCAAAACTTATTAAATGTGACCTAATGTTTACATTTGTATTCGGATAGTAACAAAAAACGACAAAAATTAAATAAAAATAATTAATTAATTAATTAATTAATTAATTATTGTTTCATAGAGTATTTATTTCTCCTAAATTAATAAATGTGTTTGATCTTTAAAATTGAACACATTGTATCTTTAAAACCGTCCAAAATAAGATGTTTGTATAATTTTTTTTGCTTAAAATAATTCATACAATCATGTTCTAGAATATAACCATAGAATATTGATCATTCCTTAAACATATTGTATATGTATATAAGATGTTCCACCAAAAATAGCCATTCTCTTTTATTTTTTAAACTAAAAGAGATAGACTATAATATACATATCAAATTAAATGGTCCAATCTGAATTCTATTGTAAGCATACCCAAGTAAGAAACAAATATATAAAAAATGTTTAAAACTTATTTCAAAGATATTTTTAAAATGTTAAAATAATTGGTTAAGTCCCTTTTTATATAAGTCACATTTAAAAAAAACGTTTACCTTAATGTTAATTCAATATAAATATTTATTTAACATTTATTAAATATTTAATTAAGACATTTCTATCAGACTTTCAATATTAAATATAATACATATGATAGAAAGGCTCTAAGAGCCGAACGCGGTTGTTGCTGCGTGTATTCCGACGAAAATGAATTTTTCATCGGAAATAAATAATTATATGCACAAGGCACAAATTTTACTTGGTCACTGCCAAGACTTAAATATATGGAATAATCTCATCTTTGAGATTTAATTCCATTGAACCTCCTCTGACCCCCCTTAAAGAAATAAATGCGAGAAAAATATAGATCCGAAAGTGGCTGAATCGGGAATCGAACCTGAGAACCTTATATTTAAGAGAACCTAAATATTTAATATTTTATTATTAAAATATTAATAAAATAAATGTTTATTTAACGTTTATTACATATTTATTTTATTAATATTTTTAAAAGATATAAAAATATATAAAATATTTAATAAACGTTAAATTAATATTTATAATACATTAACATATAAAAGTAAACTTTTTTTAATGAATAAAAAGGGACTTAACCAATTATTTTAACATTTTTTAAATAGCTTTTAAAATGAGTTTTAAACATTTTTTATACATTTATTTGCTACTTCGTAGTGGTTGCTTACTGAAGCTGTTTATGTAAACAAATGGAGAAGTTTGCACTCTCTGTTTCTCTCTACGCAGATATAAAATGAATCAAAAATATTGTTTTCAAAATTTGTGAGCTTGTTCCTTTTTATGCAACAATACACAAATTTTTTAAACATACTTTTGACTCACCTTGTACACACACACCGATTACACTTATTACACTTTTAATGATGATATAATTTTTACCTGTTGTGATAAATTTTCTTCAAATTTCTTTTTCTTTAACGTGCGATTAACATTTATTATAGTAGTCAAAGACATTTGCTCTTCTAATTTCTTAATGTCTTTTAGACTTTGTACTGAAAAGTACGGTGGATCAACTGTAAATAATTATTACACAGTTATTATATATAAAAATAAAATATATATGTATAATTTCGAAAAAGAATAAAGGTATTAACATATAATCATAAAAAAATTGCTGTGAAATGTGTGTGTATACGAAGGAAAGGGAACAAGGAAATTATTTTAAACAATTACTTAAATATTTAATAATGTTATTGAATTTAAAATGTGTTAATTTAATGTTGTTTGAAAATTTGTAAGTTCAAAAAATAAATGAATTTATCTATAATTCTTTAATTTAGTTGATAATTAATCGAAGATATAAATTTATTGACATTTTTTGATTTACAAAACTATTTTTAAGAAGCCCTTAAATTTATTATTATATTTTTTTGGAACACCATGATTACGAAATCAAAATATCAAAGCAGGAAAGTTTAAAATTAATGAAATTGAAATTAATAATAATAATAATAAATATTTAAACATTTCTTACTTGCATATTGCATCTCGCCAATTACTTTAATTTTATCTCCTTTCATAAGTTCATAATCATTTTCTTCAAAATTTGTAATATGTACTTCTAATTTAAAGTACCAATCAGTGATGGATCCACATCCAATTTTCTTATTCAAATTAGTTTTATAAATTGGCCCAAAATTGGACTTTATATAGCCCTCTAATGCTATAAAAGAAAAAATATATAAACATATATAAATATATAAATATATAAACATATAAATATATAAACATATAAATATATAAATATAAATTTAACATATATAAGATAGGCAATAAGAGCCAAATCGCGGATGACAGTGCGTTATTCTAAACGAAACTAAATTTTTTCGTTAGAATTAAATACCTGTGCACAAGGCACCAAGTTTTTACTTGGACACGGCCAAGATATAAAATTGGAATAATCTCTACAAGAGATTTTTTAATTCCATGTATCCCCTATTCCCCTAAAGAAATAAAGTGCGAGAGAAAAATATAGATCCGAAAGTCGCAGAATCGGGAATCGAACCCGAGACCTTTCGCTTGCCGGGCGACTGCTCTTCCAACTGAGCTATTCAGATCCTTTCGATTCTATACTTTTCTCTGTTATATATTAATGTTGGTAAATAAACGCCTTTAAGCCAGCGTGTATAAATTAAGAGTTTAACTAGGCTCTGTAATATAAATATAAATTTAACATATATAACATATATAACATATATGACGAGCCAATTATTAATGGAAGAGATTCGCATTAAATTTGATATATTTAATCGTCAATTAAATATTTTTTAATTGTTTCTGCTCAAATCAATTGTCAATTGAATTGTCTTCGATTGAATCTGTTTTTTTCAATCGTCAATTAAAGTACTTTTAATTAAAATTAACTCATATTAATCGTTAATTAAAAAACTTTTAATTAAATTAGCTTGTATTAATTTTTAATCGATCGTTCTCCGATTAATTTCGTTTATATCAATTGTCATTATGATAATCTCATTATTCTTTGTGACATGATCTTACATGAGAAAATTTAATTCTATATTAACACAGATGTTACCGTCAATTTCATCAACTTTAAACTTTCCTGACTGAAATTTGAATGCGAGATAGATAGAGAATCGTACACCGCGTAACGGTTAAAGAAGAAACTAGCAATTATTGCATAACTGTGACGTATCGTTTATGTCAATAACGTAATGAATCTATAATTGTTACATAAAATTGTTATGTAATTTTGGCGTTACTTTATTATATATGTATTTATGTATTTTGATTAATGTAAATGTGTATACTCTAAAAGTTTCGTAAATACTACGTAATTTTAATGACATAATTGTAACATTATGTTAAATACGTAACGTTTATGTATTTTGGTTAATATAAATGTGTATACTCTAAAAGTTTCGTAAATGCTACATAATTCTAATAACTAATTGTAACGTTATATTAAATACGTAACATTATTTTGTTGACATCAATGTATACATTCTGTAAAAACTTTATTATAATCATTACATACAGTATAATAACAAAATTGCGATATTTTTTTTATTTAATGTGACATCGCAATTTCGTTATTATAATTATATAATAGTTATAATAAGGTTTTTAAAGAATATATACATTGATATCAACAAAATAATATTAATGTTACATATTTAACATAACGTTACAATTATGTCATTAAAATTACGTAGTATTTACGAAACTTTTAGAGTATACACATTTATATTAACCAAAATATTATAATTATATATAATAGTTATAATAAGGTTTTTAAAGAATATATACATTGATATCAACAAAATAATATTAATGTTACATATTTAACATAACGTTACAATTATGTCATTAAAATTACGTAGTATTTACGAAACTTTTAGAGTATACACATTTATATTAACCAAAATATTATAATTATATATAATAGTTATAATAAGGTTTTTACAGAATATGTGCGAGCCGAAGGATGTGTGAGCCTTCAACTTGGGCTTGTTGCCTCGCGCGTATGTGGACGCGTATTCGTCGTCGCTTGTGCTGACGCCGTGTTACCTTATATTCGTGTAAATATAAGGTATTCCTTGATCATGGTGAATCAATGAGGGAATTGTTGATACTCGTTGTGTAACCAAAATGTTTATTGTAGTAAGCGGACTGTATAATAAGAAAACTGCGTGTCGCCGCGTGGACGACAGCCGGAGAACGTACAGGAAAAGGCGAACAACAACCGGAAGACGCACGAGAGAGAGGCGTGGTATAGGCGATCGCAGCGCCCTGCGCGCAGCAGTCGGTATTGCTCGTGCAATAATTTATAGAGGCGATGACATTAAATCTAATTGGACACGAGTAGCGTGTACATACTGCCCCCCTTGAAAGGGTGACCTTTCAACGTAGGAAGATAATACAAGTTAAGACACTTGTTATACTTATAACTAATTTGAATAATCTAAATAGGATAATTATAAATGAACATATTATAATGGTAAGTTTTAAAATGTTAGGATATAAACAAATAATTATAACTTGTTGTATATATAAAAAAAAATAATAATAATAATGGAAAAATAAGAATAATTTGACAGTCATGACTGAGGCTCATTATCGAAAGGAAGTAAACATAAACGTGTGATAGGGCGCTTATAAGAACCTTTAGTTGTCTTGATGGTAGCCGTGCGAACGATTCCATCGTGTCCCGGATGGATCTCTGATATTCTTCCTAGGGGCCAAGATAAAGGTGGCATGTTGTCCTCCTTTAGAATTACTATTTGCCCTTTATATATTGATGAATCAATAGATTGCCATTTATTGCGTTGCTGGAGATGATGAAGATATTCCTTCGTCCAACGTCGCCAGAAATGTTGCCTCAATTGCTCCAGATGCTGCCAGCGTGATAAACGATTGATTGCAAGATTCTCCAATGATGGTTCGGGATAAGACGTTAGAGGTCCCCCTATTAAAAAGTGTCCTGCTGTTAAAGGTGCAAGGTCATCAGGATCAGAAGACATAGGCGTGAGTGGTCTAGAATTAAGGATTGCTTCGACTTGAATAAGCAACGTTTGTAGCTCCTCATATCTTAGGTGAGCGTCTTTGGTTATTCGAGATATATGCACTTTAGCCATTTTGACTGCAGCTTCCCAAAGCCCTCCATGGTGAGGTGCTCTGGGTGGGATAAAGTGCCATTGTACATTTTTATCGCTCATGTATCCAGCGATTTCATGTTGGAATTTTTGATTCTTGAATAATACAACTAACTCGTTCAATTCACGTTCTGCACCTACAAAGTTTAGGCCATTGTCGGAGTATATGTTGGCTGGATATCCTCGCCTGGAGATAAATCGCTTGAAAACATTTAAAAATGCTTCTGAAGTCATATCCGTGGCTAACTCAATGTAGACGGCCTTCGTTGCAAAACAGACAAATATTGTCATATAGCACTTTATTAACTTGGTATTTTTTCTCAATCCTTGCTTGTAGTAGTATGGACCGGCGTAGTCTACTCCGCAATTTTCGAAGACCCTTGAGGGTACTGTAATTCGTGGCTTGGGCAGATTACCCATGATTGTTGATGCTGGTTTCGGTGCACTGCGAAAACAAATGGTACATTTTCGAGTGATCTGACGAACAATATCTCGCGCTGAGACGAGCCAATAGTTCTGTCGAACGGCAGCGAGTGTAGCTTGAGGTCCAGCATGTAAGTGTTTTTCATGTTCGTGCATTATGATAAGGTGTGATAATGAATGTCGTCCAGGCAATAATATGGGATGCTTTGCTGAGCGCGGCAACGATGAAGATTGTAGACGGCCCCCGACTCTCAAGATTCCAGTTTCATCGATGAATGGGCTTAACCTTGATGCAGGACTGTTTGGAGATATGATGCCTTGATTAGATAATGAATGCAACTCCTTTGAAAAACAATCTTTCTGTACAAGTTTTACCAATATCTGAATGGCGTGATTTATTTCGTCAGTGGTTATAGGTTGAATTATTCGTGCAGGCGTAATAGATTCTTGAGATCTTCTAATAGATCCTCCAATATTTCTTGCGTTTTTGAAGAATCGAAAGATATACGCAACGATTCGAATCAATCTTGTAAATCTTGAGTATCGATTGAAGATGTTAAAATCTTGATCATTAGTTGCTAGCGTGGTGATGCATTTAGACCTCCTTTCTGGTGCGTCTTGATTAGAGGTGACAAGTAGACCTTGAGGCCATTTTTTCTTATCAAGCGTTAGCCACGGAGTACCTGTCCACCAAATTTGTAGATGAGATAAAGATGCTGGCATGATGCCTCTTGACAATGGGTCTGCGGGATTGTCCTCACTTCGTATGTGTTTCCAGTTTTGTATTGCGGTCAATTGTTGTATCTCTCCAACGCGATTGGCTACGAAGGGTGTCCAGGTACGGTTGCATGATTGCAACCAGGCTAGGACGATGGTCGAGTCAGTCCATAAATAGAATCTATTTTGCATGATAGACAATTAGAAATTTTATTGACGAGCTGTGCTAGCAATAGTGCGCCGCATAATTCGAGGCGCGGAATCGAGAGAGTCTTCAAAGGAGCTACTCGATTCTTGGAGCAAAGTAGACGAACTGAATGACTTCCATCGGGCGATGTGGCACGTAAATAAATGCATGCTCCATATCCAGATTCACTGGCGTCGGAAAATCCGTGAATTTCCAGTCGTGTGTGTTGCTTAAACGGAATAACCCTGCGAAGTACGTTGATTTGCCTTAGTGTAGGCAATTCTGCTTCATAACGTTTCCATTTAGTGTGTAATTCTAAAGGGATTGATTCGTCCCAATCCAGTCCAAGACGCCAAAGATCTTGCATTATAATTTCGGCTGTTAGTGTGACAGGACCGAGTAAACCGAGTGGATCAAATATTAATGAGATCCTTGACAATATACTTCGTTTTGTGATTGTTTTAAGTGGTTCGAAAGGCGTGACGCTGGGAAATTGGAATTGATCCATGTTACAATTCCATATAATGCCTAATTTGCGTGTTTCACATTGTTTGTCAGCTGACGACATAAATTCCTTGTGATTTGAATTATATGGCTGGCCTTGCAGAGAGGGAACATTTGATGCCCATTTTGCTAATTCAAATTTGGCTCCTTGCAATAATTGAATAGTTTCCTTCTTAATAGTGTATATCTCTTGAATGGTGTTTGCACCAGTGACTAGGTCATCCACATAAAAGTCGTTTAATACTACTTTGGACGCAATTGGAAACTTGGTTGAATTTTCTTCGGCTTGTTTTCGCAAGGCTGCAATGGCCAAGAATGATGCTGAGGAAGTCCCATATGTAAGTGTAAGAAGTTCGTATGTTTTAATTGATTCATTTGGCGAATCGCGCCAGAGGATGCGCTGAAGACATGTTTGTGTAGGGTCTACTAGTACCTGCCTGTACATTTTAGTAATGTCGGCGGTTAGAGCGTACGTGAAGGTTCGAAATCTTGACAAAATGGAGAAAAGATCGTCCTGCAGTGTCGGGCCAACCATTAGCACGTCGTTAAGAGAAGTACCATTTGCACGATCCATCGAAAACTACTCTCAGTTTGGTAGTACTACTTGTTTCCTTGTATATCGCATGATGCGGTAGATAGTAAGCTGGAATGTTTGTGTTGGAAAGATTGAACTCCACATCACTGGGCACCTCATACATGTGACCCAGCTCTCCTTGTATTCGCGAATGAATTTTTTATATTCAGCGTACATTTGCGGCTGCTTCAAGAGACGTTTTTCTAAAGATTTGAAGCGTTTCAGAGCGATATCCCTTGAATCTCCAATGGCAATCAATTTATCCGCTTTTATTGGGAGCTGAACTATGAATCGTCCTTCATCATTTCGTCTGGTGCTGTTTTGAAAAATAGATTGACATTTGCTTTCCTCCAGCGAAGGACTAGGTGATGATATGTTATGCTCTACTTCCCAGAATCGATTAAGCGTCCGATTTAAGTCATCCGTTACTGCTAAATGACAACTAGTTGTGATAGAGTTTACATTATTACCTATAATATGACCAGAAATTATCCAACCAAAATGAGTCTTTTGTAAGGTTGGCTGATTTTTTGAATGCTTGATCTGGCCAGCACAAATGAGCCTCCAAAATAATTCGGCGCCAATTAACATATCGATATTAGACGGAATGTTAAAGTTTGGATCAGCCAATTTAATGTGCTTGGGAATCATTAGCTTTGATTTAGTTATGAAATTTTGAGGTAATGGCTGAGTAATTTTTGGTAGTACAATACAATCTATGACCTCACTAAAATTGTTTAGACGAGATTTAATACGCAAGCTAATCGATCTTTTAGCATGAAAGCCTTTTTGCATGACTCCTATAATAGAGGTTTCTACTGTTTGTTCCTTAAGATGCAGTTGATTGGCTAATTCTTCAGTAATGAAGTTCATTTGTGAACCACTGTCGAGTAGCACGCGACATGAAATTGGCTGTTCCTTAGAATCATATACATATACAATAGCAGTAGACAATAAAATATTCACAGAATGATGAGTTGATAAACATTGTGTAACGATAGCTTGTGGTGCTTCATTTGACTCTGCGAGCGATTCCTTAAACTTCAGACCCTTGTCATTGTTGTTGGAAGTTGATAAGTGTAATAAAGTGTTATGCCTTTTATTGCATTTGCGACAAGATCCTGATTTACATGCACTGGCTTGATGATCTGTTGATCTCAAGCAATTCGTACAAATATGAGCTCTTTTAACTATCTGTATTCGTTTGTCTATCGGAAGTTTAAGGAATGCTTCACAATGGTATATCAAATGATTCTCCTTGCATTGAGGGCAAGATACGTTAGTCGTAACATTTAATACTGATTGATTTTTGTGCTTACTGCTATGCCTTTGAGAAGTATTGTTTTGTTGATTATTATGCAACTTACTAGAAAACGATTCTAGCACTTGACAACGTTTTGAAAGGAAGTCTGTGAGAGACTTCAATTTTGGCATGTCTCCTTGGACAATGCTTGTTTCCCATGCCTTATTGGTTGCGGGATCAAGTTTTGATGTAATTACGTGTATAATCAAGTCGTCCCATGTGTCCGTGGGCCTTTTCAGAGCCTTAAGAGACCTCAGATGCTTCAGAATGGTATCCAATAATTCGCGCAATGCGACGTGATTTTCCTTGATAAGCGATGGTGCTTCGAACATCCCCTTGATGTGTTTATTTATGATCCATCTTTTGTTGTCGAAACGATCCTTTATTGTCGCCTACGCCTCTTGATAAAAGTCTGTTGTAATTTCTATAGAGCTTATCACTTCCGCTGCGGTGCTCCTTAAAGATGAGCGTAAATAGTGGAACTTTTCTATATCATCGAGAATGTCATTTGTGTGAATAAGCTTTTCAAATGTGTCTTGATACGAGTACCAGTCTTCGTAAGAGCCTGAAAAAACTGGAAGCTCTATTTTAGGTAATTTAACGCGAGATTGTCTTGCGATGTTCCCTACATTATTAAGCTCGTTAGATATTGAAGCTGTAGCCTCACGCCGATCGAAATGTTCTAATACAGTGTCGTAACGCGATACCAAATGAAAATAAGGATTTTCAAAGCTATCCCTTTGTTGGATTTGTCGTGCCAGTAGGGCATCTTTGTCTGTATTCGCGGGATCCTCATTTTCAATTGTTTCTATGTGCGATTGAACGGCTTCAAATTGATCCCACAAATCTGATAGCTTAACCTTACGTTCGGTAATGTCGTGTCGTGATCCTTGATTAGGATCATAACCTTCTATGAAAGTTTTTAGCCGTGTCGCCGATGCTCTTATGTGAGCTCTTTTATTTTTTGCTTCTGATAGCGTGAGATTAGACATATTTGTTGACTTGTTATGCTGGGAACGAATAGCTTGAGCGAGTGTAAAAATGCGTCGCGAACAAGACAATATGGCGTGCCAACGATAAAAGGGTTAAATAAAATGAGTTGCTTACCTCGATTAAAAGAGAACCGTAAAGTCTTACCTCATTAAGATTACTTATTGAACGTAATCAATTAATACGTATGTTATGCGAGACAACGCGTTCAGATCGCGCGTGCCATAATACCCCTTCCCGCTCGCGGATCACGCCGCTAGAGCGTGATCACACCGTGTACGCAGAGCGTGAAAGAGAGCCTCGTCCTCTGAGCGAGGACTCTTTTGTAGACCGCGTGCGAGAACGGACGTAGCGTTTCAGGCACATATTAGATATTTACCCTGCCAATTCATCTTATTGTAAAGATAGCCATACCTTACAATAAAGTAGTATTTTTTGGTAATCGTTCTCCGAGTGATTCATACGAAGTGCCCTATTCATTCACTTTCTTGCCCACGAATACACAACAGAGAAATGGCGACGAGGATGGGATCTTAGAGACCGAAAAATTCATTCTTCCGTGTTTCGAGTAACGGGAGCAAGGAGAGCAGACCGAAAACGCTGGCTAGCAACGGGATAAAATCCGAGGAGACGAACACGCCACCGGCGCGTGTGACCAACATGGCGAGTGTAGTGTTACACGGGAATCTTTCGATCGATATTTTCGACCCGGCGACCACAGAATGGAAACGATGGTTGCAGAGATTCCAAGCAGCGATCACTATTTTTCAAGTTCCGGCAGAACAACGGGTACTGTACCTATTACATTATATCGGGTCCGCCGCTTTCGATGTGATTTGTAACAAAATGGCACCGGCGGATCCTTACTCAACTACTCTCGAAGAGTTAATAAATAACCTAGGAGAGTTCTATGCGCCGGAACCGTTGGAGATCGCGGAAAACTTCCGTTTTCACCAAAGAAAACAGAATGACGGTGAACCGATTAAGGACTTCGTCGCGGCATTACAAAAATTGAGCGTTCACTGTAAGTTTGGTCCATACTTAAAGACAGCTTTACGAAACCAACTGGTTTTCGGACTGGCAAGTTCACGGGCCCAGTCCCGTCTACTGGAGACTAAGGACCTCACTTTTGATAAGGCGGTCCAGGTTGCCACCGCTATGGAGTTATCGGAGAAAGATTCACGCCAGCTACAATCGAAGACGGCCGAAATAGAGTACGTGGGCCCGAAGGACCGCAAGCCGGAACAACGGGGACCGCGGAAGAAGAAATTCACCTCGGGAAAGCCCGCGAAAGAGAAGATTGAAGCGCACAAAACGAATGTCGGTAAACTACGTACAGGCCATTCGAGTACGTCCGTGAATGCTAATATATCTTGTTACAGATGCGGTAGAAACCACCTAGCTAGCAAATGCACTTTAGACAGGAATATCAAATGCAATTTTTGCGGTACACCAGGCCACTTGCGCAAGGTCTGTATGGGGGCGAAGCGCGCCTCAGCGAACCAGGTCGAGGAAGTATTGCAGGTGGAGCATTGCGAACATAGGGGCAAATTTTTCAAAACGCTCGTAGTAGATGGAAAGCCTTTGCGTTTTGAGATAGATAGCGGGGCAGCGGTTTCTATTGTAAGTACTAGCACTGTTCAAAGATTATTTCCCCGCCGTCGGCTTAAACAGACGACCATACAATTGATGACCTTCTGTAAAACACCTATCCAAGTAATCGGCGTGCTTCCGGTATCGGTGACGTGGCGCGACGACATACTTACGTTAAATCTATACGTCTCTGAGGTCGATCGCGAGCCTTTGTTAGGTCGCGAATGGATACGTCAGCTACACCTATTTCATTTAGTAGATTCGATAAACATGACCCAAGTCATTGAAAACAGTACACGAAGTAAAATCGAACGACTGTTAGATTGCTACAAAAAGAAATTAGACCCGAGTCTTACAAAGATACGAGGCTTACAAGCCAGTTTAACTACAAAGGAAAATATCAATCCTATCTTCCTAAAAGCACGTACAGTACCCTTTAAACTAGTACCCTTAGTGGAACAAGAATTACAAACACTGGTAGAGGACGGGATTTTAGAAAAGGTCAATACGTCGCGTTGGGCTACACCTATTGTGCCCGTATTAAAGAAAAACAACAAAATACGTATTTGCGGAGATTTCAGCGTCACGATAAATCCTAATTTATTGACCGATAAATATCCGCTCCCCACCGTCGACGAGTTATTTGCGTCCATGGCCGGGGGCACAAAATTTACAAAGATTGACCTACAACAGGCTTATTTACAATTAGAAGTTCGGGAAGAAGATCGCGAATTGTTGACATTGAATACACATAAAGGTCTGTTTAGAAGCACAAGGCTAATGTACGGGATCGCGTCGGCGCCAGCTATTTGGCAGCGTGAAATTGAAAATATCTTAGGGGACATACCGGGTGTGTCTGTTTTTCTTGATGACATCAAAATCACAGGACCTGATGAAAACACTCACATGTGCCGTTTAGAACAAGTACTCTCACGTTTAGCAGACGCAAACATACGAATTAATGAAGAAAAGAGCGAATTTTTTAAAGACAGCATACTTTACTGCGGTTACAAGATCAACAAAAGCGGAATACATAAGATAACCGAGAAAACCCAAGCCATTGATAATATGCCACCGCCACAAAACGTAACCGAATTGCGCTCCTTTCTGGGGATGGTTAATTATTACGGGCGGTTTATAAAAAATTTAAGCACAATCCTTCACCCATTACATAAATTACTACAGAAAAAGGTAAATTACAAATGGACACGAGAGTGTGAAAGAGCCTTTCAATCCACGAAAGAAAATTTTAAAAAAGATACAGTGCTAGTACACTTCGACCCGCGATTACCTTTAATTCTAGCTACAGATGCGAGCCCATACGGCGTCGGGGCTGTACTATCTCACCGCTATCCGGATGGGTCCGAGCGTGTCCTGCAATACGCATCACAGACATTGACAGACACGCAGCGGAAGTATGCGCAGATAGACAAGGAAGCGTATGCAATTATTTTCGGAATTAAGAAATTTCATCAATATTTATACGGAAACAAATTTACACTATTTACAGACCATCGACCTCTCGTACAAATACTCTCACCTACAAAAGCCTTACCTACTTACACAGCATTACGAATGCAGCATTATGCTATTTTTCTACAGGGCTATACCTTCGACATTAAGTACAAAAATACGCGACAACATTGCAACGCTGATTGTCTATCTCGCCTACCAGTTCCAATGATACCTAACATAGAGCGCGACGTGGTCGACGTCTACGAGATGGAAATATTGCAGAACACACCCGTGTCTACAGACAAATTAGTACAAGCGACCGCAGCAGATACACAATTACAAAAAATACTCAGAGCGCTACGCGAGAACAAAGAAATACCGGCTAAATTGCGTTTCAATATTAATCAAGCGGCCTTTAGTATACAGCAGGAAGTACTTTTTTGCAATGGAAAAATTGTTATCCCACAATCATTACATAAGCGATTCTTACGTGATTTACATACGAGCCATTTCGGCATAGCAAAAATGAAGGCTTTAGCGAGGACCTTATATTGGTGGCCTGGTATCGATAAAGCCATCGAAGAAATGGCAAGAAATTGTAAAATATGTAACTCCCTACGAAATAACCCACCGAAAGTCGAACCTCACGAATGGGAACTCGCGTTAGTCCCGTTCGATAGATTACACCTCGATTACGCGGGCCCCTTTATGAACGCCTATTTTCTCGTTATAGTAGATGCGTGTTCAAAGTGGCCTTTTGTACATATAGTTAAGGATATTACTGCGAAAACGACAATTCAAAAATGTAAAAGCATTTTCTCGATTTTTGGAAACCCAAAAATCGTGGTAACGGATAACGGGCGCAATTTCCGTTCAACAGAATTCGTACAATTCCTTAAAACTAACGGAATTACGCCAAAATACACTGCACCGTATCACCCTGCCACAAATGGGCAAGCGGAAAGATTTATACAGACAATGAAAAATTCATTACGGAAAATACTAACCGACCCTACAAATAGAAGATTACGTTTAGAAGATGCATTACAACAATTCTTAGTACAATATAGAATCACCCCTCATTGTACCACAGGAGTTGCACCTTTCGAGAAAATGTTCAATAGACAAATGCGCACATATTATACTACATGTGTACCGGAAAAAGAACAAGCATCTGCAAACTTTAATTTAAACAAAAAAATCCGCGAATTTAAGGTGGGGGAGAGTGTGCAATGCCGAAACTACAGTGGAAACGTCAAATGGAAACACGGAAAGATCATTCACCGCCTGGGTAAATTACACTATAAAATAGAACTGGATGATGGCAGAGTCTGGGAACGCCACGTAAACCAATTGCTGCGATCAGGAGAATTTTGGGACCACCCCGACGAACCGCAAACAAAAAGGGAACCAAACGTCCCGGAAACACCGGAGGAAACGGAAATACAACACACCCATAGCGGCGCCGAACAACCACGACCACCGGAAGTGCATCAATCTCCAGAGAGAGCAGAAGTATCCGTCCAGAACCAGGCAGGAGACGTCGGACGCCCAGTACGCATGAGGAAGCCACCGGAAAGATATACGGACACTGTATACTATCGGAAGTAACGACGGTTTCTTCTTTTTGTTGTTACGAGGGGAGGAGTGTTATGCGAGACAACGCGTTCAGATCGCGCGTGCCATAATACCCCTTCCCGCTCGCGGATCACGCCGCTAGAGCGTGATCACACCGTGTACGCAGAGCGTGAAAGAGAGCCTCGTCCTCTGAGCGAGGACTCTTTTGTAGACCGCGTGCGAGAACGGACGTAGCGTTTCAGGCACATATTAGATATTTACCCTGCCAATTCATCTTATTGCAAAGATAGCCATACCTTACAATAAAGTAGTATTTTTTGGTAATCGTTCTCCGAGTGATTCATACGAAGTGCCCTATTCATTCACTTTCTTGCCCACGAATACACAACAACGTATAATTGTGAATACGCTTATATCCGGCTCGAAGGACCAATGTGCGAGCCGAAGGATGTGTGAGCCTTCAACTTGGGCTTGTTACCTCGCGCGTATGTGGACGCGTATTCGTCGTCGCTTGTGCTGACGCCGTGTTACCTTATATTCGTGTAAATATAAGGTATTCCTTGATCATGGTGAATCAATGAGGGAATTGTTGATACTCGTTGTGTAACCAAAATGTTTATTGTAGTAAGCGGACTGTATATAAGAAAACTGCGTGTCGCCGCGTGGACGACAGCCGGAGAACGTACAGGAAAAGGCGAACAAGAACCGGAAGACGCACGAGAGAGAGGCGTGGTATAGGCGATCGCAGCGCCCTGCGCGCAGCAGTCGTATTGCTCGTGCAATAATTTATAGAGGCGATGACATTAAATCTAATTGGACACGAGTAGCGTGTACAGAATATATACATTGATATCAACAAAATAATATTAATGTTACATATTTAACATAACGTTACAATTATGTCATTAAAATTACGTAGTATTTACGAAACTTTTAGAGTATACACATTTATATTAACCAAAATACATAAATGACAACATAATTGACAATTGATATAAACGAAATTAATCGGAGAACGATCGATTAACAATTAATACAAGCTAATTTACAATTGTCAATTAAATAATCTTTAATTGACTTCGATCATATTAATTGTTAATTAAACGATCTTCGATTAATCTAGCTTATATCAATCGTCATTGTAACGAAATCTAATTAATCTTTCTAAAATTAATCGTCAATTAAAAATATTTTAATTAAATCTGTTCATATCCTTTGTTCAATTATAAAAAATTTAATTGATATTTTGCCATCTCTGATACCCAGTAAACACGAAGGGATCATTTACGAAACAATTACATAATAATCTATATATGTATATGTTATGTTATAGATCGGCGAAACAAAACAATGACGTATCATTTATGTCAATAACGTAATGAATTTGTTATGCAATTTTGGTGTTACTTTGTTATGTAACATTTATGTATTTTGGTTAATATAAATGTGTATACTCTAAAAGTTTCGTAAATACTACGTAATTTTAATGACATAATTGTAACGTTATGTTAAATATGTAACACTAATATTATTTTGTTGATATCAATGTATATATTCTGTAAAAACCTTATTATAACTATTATATATAATTATAATATTTTGGTTAATATAAATGTGTATACTTTAAAAGTTTCGTAAATACTACGTAATTTTAATGACATAATTGTAACGTTACGTTAAATATGTAACATTAATATTATTTTGTTGATATCAATGTATATATTCTGTAAAAACTTATTATATAACTATTATATATAATTATAATAACAAAATTACGATGTCACATTAAATAAAAAAATATCGCAATTTTGTTATTATACTGTATGTAATGATTATAATAAAGTTTTTACAGAATGTATACATTGATGTCAACAAAATAATGTTACGTATTTAATATAACGTTGCAATTAGTTATTAGAATTATGTAGCATTTACGAAACTTTTAGGATATACACATTTACATTAACCAAAATATATAAATGTTACGTATTTAACATAACGTTACAATTATGTCATTAAAATTACGTAGTATTTACGAAACTTTTAGAGTATATACATTTACATTAACCAAAATACATAAACGTTACGTATTTAACATAACGTTACAATTATGTCATTAAAATTACGTAGTATTTACGAAACTTTTAGAGTATACACATTTACATTAACCATAATACATAAATACATATATAATAAAGTAACGCTAAAATTACATAACAATTTTATATAACAATTATAGATTCATTACGTTATTGACATAAACGATACGTCACAGTTATGCAATAATTGCTAATTTCTTCTTTAACCGTTACGCGGTGTACGATTCTCTATCTATCTCGCATTCAAATTTCAGTCAGGAAAGTTTAAAGTTGATGAAATTGACGGTAACATCTGTGTTAATATAGAATTAAATTTTCTCATGTTGAGATCATGTCACAAAGAATAATGAGATTATCATAATGATAAGTATCAATTAATTATTAAATTTAATAAACATTTAAATTATATATTGATTAAAAAATAAATATTACATTTACTATCTCATTAACTAATTTTTCATATTTATCTAACTCATTTATTTTTTAATCAATATATAATTTAAATGTTTATTAAATTTAATAAACATTTAAATTATATATTGATTAAAAATAAATATTATATATATTTATATATATAAATATTAATAATTAAGAAATATTTTCTTAAATATTATAATAATTATTAATATATAATATATTAAAATTTATTAATAATAATACTCTATTTCTCTATATATAAATATTTTATTATTTTAATAAATAATTAATTATTAATTAAATAATGATTTATAATAAATTTATAATAGTTATTAAATATATTCTAATTAATAAAATATTTATATATTTTATATAAATATTAACCTTATATTATTATAACATTTTATTATAACATATTATACATTTATTATTTTATACCATACCTAGATATACCTAAATATACCATATTATCTAATTACTAAAATAATTTCTTTTTTAATTACAGTTTACAGAGGAAGACGCGCCGGAGTTCGCGTCCAAGAGGAGCGCTTTATGCGCTTCCTCATGAAACTGTCCTCGCCGAATTATTATTGGGGCAACAGGCCGAGGAGGGGCGGACGAGAAGGCGGACGAGGACGGGGACGGCGAAACGCCTAATAGCATATACATACATTATATATACATAATAAATATACATATATATACATTCTTCATTTTATTTAAATAAAAACCCTATCAAGAGACACGGTAGTGTAACGCGACCAGGTAAGGGCATAGCCGAGACACCGTATATCTTAACGCGAGTCGGACATTTGAGTCTTTATAATATTTTGAATCCTCAATAACGGCAGAAGCAATCGAGTTTATACTAGACTTAATCGATACACGTATTCACACGTATACAACACATGCGCACACATATATCACACGTACACAACACATGCAAGATGCATGTAGTGGTAATTTTGTCCATCTCGCACGTTTTACAACAGACGGCGTTAGTAGTGCTCCGCGATATTGGCAGCGTGCGGGGTTATGTAAAAAAAATAATAAATATTGACGTGCGGGGTATAAAATAAATATTGATACGTTATCATTTTAAACTATTTCTTTTATAAAAATAATTACTTTCTTGCTACACTACCATCCTACTATTCCTTTTTTTATAAGTACCTGCATAATTATTGATGTAAAATAAGGAAGCGATCTTTACCAATAATAATTATTTATATACTTATGAAAGATGTAGTACAATGGTAGCGTTGCAGAAAATTATTATGAAAAAATAGTATAAATAAAATGATAACGTAACATAATAAAAGTATTTAATAAATATCAAAAAGTTGCAAATATCATTATATAAATATATATTTATAAAAGAATATGTTTATGATATACTAAACATGTGATATGCAATACTGCATATATGTAATTATATATAATATAAAAAATATATCACATAATATACGAATACATCAGAATATTTAAAGTCTTCAAAGTGATGATAGTTCACATGATGTCAGATTTACCAAATGTTGACTTTGAACGAGATGTATATCAATTTATTGTAAGTAATGCAAAAAAACTTGAAGAGTTTATTTTTGACCAGCAGTTTTTCTCATTGAAATATTAATTCTTATATTTAGAGTAAAGCAAAAAAACTTGAAGAGTTTATTTTTGACCAGCAGTTTTTCTCATTGAAATATTAATTCTTATATTTAGAAATGTATGTAGAAGTTATAATATGCTCTATTACACATTTAAGGAGGCATATATAAATTATCAATTTTGATATTTTGACATGTTATGTAACAAGAGAAACATGATTATTCTTCATTAATAATATCAGAGGAGGCCACTTTTATATTCTACTTAATTTGTAGTTTCTTATTACTACTAAAATAAATGTACTTTTAATAAGAGTAAATAAAAAAAGCGATTTATAAATCATTGTCCGAAAAAAGATGTATAAGCTATGTCAAAGCTGATCTAAAATTTTTATGAAATCAGCTATAAATATTTTAGAAAGAAAATTAAATAATATAAAATTGTTACTCAAAGAAATGTTTTGTGTGTACACACCGATAAAGTTAAAAAAAAAGTAAAATTATTTGATACAGCAAAAATTGGAAAATTTATCTGCTCTAAAATGCAAGATGCCAAGTCAAAAATTAAAATTTAAAAACTTATGCAAATTTAAAATTAATATAAAATAAAAAGAAATAATAAAATTTTAGTTAAAAAACTGGGCGCGCTGCTAAATAATATTCTAATGATATTAAAATTAAATTGTTACTTTTAAACTCATTGCAATTAAAAGGGGGGAGAAAGAATGAAAGAGGGTTAGAGAGGACGAAAGAAAGTGAAAGAGGACGAAAGAGGGTGAGAGGGAATGAAAGAGGGTGAAAGACGACGAAACAGGGTGAAAGAGGGTGAGAGGGAATGAAAAAGGGTGAGAGAGGACGAAAGAGGGTGAAAGAGGACGAAAGAGGGCGAAAGAGGGTGAAAGAGGACGAA